TCTCAGCATTATTCTCCCCTCTCCTCCTTAGCTATATTTTTCAAAACCAGCATTTTGTTTATCTCCATTTTTCCCTCACGGCTGCTGCACAACCACACTCGGGGCACTACCATCGCGATCAGAAGCTCGTGTCCAAACCAGGTGGCTTTGAGTTTGATCTTTGAGTGCCGAGCCCGCCGTCGCACCGACAGCACCGACGCGAACCAAGCCTGTACACGGACGATTTCCAGCGTCTCTTGGCCGCGACTTTCAAGCCATTAATCCTCACCTCCGTTCGGCACCGTCGAGCCTGTGTACGAGCAGCGCGTGTCCCGTCTGTCCAAAGTTTACTGTCGAGTTTCGAAGCCGTTTGTTCGACCCGCTATCGGGACCGTTTCCCGTCCAATAGCTCGTAGATTCCCGAACACGGGTAACTCGTTTGAATCCTCTCATTGTTACGATCGTTTTCATATATTGCATGATAGATATATATGTCATACGTGCCACCGTGTTCTTGTTTGAAATGGGATTCTTTCAGTGCTTTGTTTATGAATAACGTTAAGTTGCCTGTGTCCTATGTTATTCAGTAGTATAATTGTAGCTGTGAGCTTGTTCCATTGTAGCTGCTACCGTAAGTTGATTCAGGGATAATACATCACATTATTTATGTTTATTGAATGCCCGATTTCCATATCTGCTACATATTTATGTTTATTGAATGCCTGATTTCCATATCTGCTACAACTTTACCTCTTCGTGTGTTTTCATATTTTTTTTTATTGTTTAATAAGAGAATGACAAAATGCTTATTATGATTATAGGAATTTACTTTTGATATCATAGTTTGTAAAATCACAAAAGGCTTTCCTTGGCCTTGGATAAAAAAAAAAAAACGATGAAATTATTTTGTGATGCAAACATAGAGAAACTAGGATTGAGAGACCATATTTTATGTTGCTGTATACTGTTGCTTTGATACTGAAAATATGTATTCAGAATGCTCTTAACTACTGCAATTTGAGTTTAACAGGATGCTTAGAGTTTTTATTTTTATTTTATTTATTTATATATTTATTTTTTTTAAATTTGTTCAAAAAGAAAAGATAGCAGGTTTGAATAATGTTCTTGAGCCATGTGTTAAGTACATGTTTTGCTGAGCTTGGTGTAGTAATATTTAATCTCATTATATGCTTTTGGTGCCTAAATGAAGAATTATATGCTCAGTTATTTTTAAACTTATTGTTAGGTAAATTTTGCTAAAAAGAGGAAAGAATAGAAGGCTATTTAAGTGGTGGATTGTGTGTTTTGTGTGATTATTTTAATTTTTGGTTCTGTGATACGTATGGTGAACTTGATGATGATTTTTATGCTAAAATTTGGAGTGATTATGGATGTCATTCAAATCCGTTTAATTGGCTTAGCATGTGTTATGTGATTGAGAAAGAAGAAAACATTTTATATGTCATGAATATTTTATATTTTATTACGCTAAGAAATTCTTCAATTGATAATTTAGTTTACCGAGTTAAGAGTTAGTTATTTATTCGAATAGCGCTTATTAAATGTAGGTACTTGACGAGTCGTGCTCGCCGCTTACACTCATTTTGTGATATAACTCGATTTTTACCAGGTGGGTATAGTTTGTGTATCTATAATTATCGCATTTCGTTATTTCGTATAAATGTTCGCCTTGATAACTTTAGTATGCCTGAGAACCCTAGTCTAGTGTGTTACACCACCAGGGGCGTCTCGCCTTTAGTGCCTTTGATGAATGCATAAGCAGTGTGAGGTCACCTGCCCGTTGTATCCGGGAGGAGGACGCCCTAGCCCGTGTGTTGGGAAAAACATCTCGACTGTCTCCTGGAAAGGATCCCTTAGCCCGTGTCGAGCCGAGGTGGGAATGTTTCCGGTTACTTCCTTGTCGATGTCTGATCAGAAGGTTGTTGTATGTACATAGGAGGTTTGCGATAGGGCCAATTGGAGAGATAGATCTGGATTCTATGCATACTTTATTTATGGTGTTGAATCTTTATGCTATGTGATATTGGTGAGCATAGTGGTTTTGCTCACCCCCATTATTTGTTTTTGTCCTCTTGTTTCCTCTTACTATCTTTAGGTTGAGCATTGTTGGTGGCGGCATTGAGAGACGAGCAAGTGGTGGTCTTTGGATTGTCATGTCTTTGCTTCCGCTTTATCTATTTTTTTTTATATGTTGGATTGTTACTTATGGATTATATGCTTCCGCTTTAACTTTTGAACATGTCGTTGGAATCATGATGTTTTGGATTAGTTTTGAAAACTTATGAATGATTTGATTTGATTATTATAATTGATAGACCGCATGTTTAGAACCATCGTGAATGTCTAAATTGTTTACCTTGTTAGTTGATTTAAGTAGCGCCCGTTAAGGTAAAGTTTTAAATTGATTTTTTGCGAAAATTTTACTCTGAATTTCATTAATAAATCTAGCAAATTCTTTAAAATAAAACGGGGCGTTACAGTATGGTATCAGAGCTAGTCTGCGTTTCTGTAGACTATCTCTAGTGTAGTGTGTTAATGACCATTGACCACTCGCTTCGTCTCACCGCGCCAACTCGAGGTATGAGATTTTGTTATTTCTTTATATTATTGGGGCATAGGACTATTCTAGTGTTTGAGCGATGAACTCTAGAATTGATATTTTGTTTGTGCTAAACTCTTCGGATTATTCAATGTAGAGCTATGACTAGACGCAATGCTCGCAACAGGCAACCATCTCCATCCCCGCCTCCTTCGTCTCATCAGCATGCTCCTCCCGATCCAGACCGGGATTTTCCGAGGCTTATTATTCAGTTCCAGGGCATGCATCCGCCTACTTTCACGGGGACTGAGAGTCCTACTGTCGTGTTGGAGTGGATGAAGGAGCTGGATAAGATCTTCGCTGTGCTCCCTCTCACTCAGCCACAGCGCGTCTCTCTGGTTGGCTTCCAGATGAAGATGGACTCTTCGGACTGGTGGATTGATTACTGGGCCTTGAGGCCAGAGGCAGAGCGTAATATGCTCACCTGGGAGCGTATGAAGGATATCGTCCGAGATAAATTTCTTCCCCAGAGTTTCCGTGATCGCATGGAGCAGGAGTTTTGGCACCTCCAGCAGGGGACGCTAGCGTGGACGAGTACAGGCGCAACTTCACTCGTATGAGTATCTTCGCTGGCGAAATGGTGAATACCGATGCGAAGAAAGCCCGCAAGTATCTGAAGGGGCTGAATCATCGAATTCGAGAGCTCGTAGGGAGCCATGGAGCAATGCCTTATGCCGATACCGTTCTGCGAGCTCAGGAGGTTGAGAGTTGTTTGATCCCGATAGCTCCAGTTCCCTCCTAGTATCATGCTTCTCAGACCACACAGACTGCACCTCTGCTCATCTCTCAGCCACCTGTCATTCCTCAGATTTGTTATCAGCATCCTGCCCATTTCACTGCTGTTCCCCAATCTTCTAGCTCCGGCAAGAGGAAGATCGACCACCAAAATCGCAAGAATGAAAAGCGCCCTAACCCTGGTCGCCGTCAGCCCCAGCAGCAGTTTATGGCCCAGAGAGTTTAGCCTATCCAGCAGATCGCAGTAGGACCACCGCCTTGTCGAGCATGCGGACGAGTCCACGAGGCCAACATGTGTCGGGCTGTCGACATGACTTGTTTCAACTGCCAGAGCAGCAGCAGCAACAGCGAGCCCCAGCCCGAGTTTATGCTCTTACTCAGGAGGAGATAGCTAACAATGCAGGTACAATGTCTGGCATGCTATCTTTATCGAATGTGCCTATATATGCTTTATGTGATACTGGGGCCACGCATTCTTTCATCTCTCGTGAATGCCTGGAGTCACTGGGAATCCGTAGTGTTAGTAGAGTCGATGCTCTCGAGGATTCTCTAGCTTCGGGAAAGATGATCTCTACCGATACGATGGTACAGGGACTTGAAATTTCGATCGGAGGCTGAAAGTTGGAGGCAGATGCTTATGTCATTGACATGCGGGATTTCGACGTCATCCTTGGCATGGATTGGCTCACCCACTATCGTGCTGACATCCGATGCTTAGAGAAGGAGGTCACGCTTCACCCAATCGCTGGAGAATCGATCGTGTTTTAGGTGCCAAGTCGAGGACCGTGCCGAAGGTTATATCCTCCTTGAAGGCCATGAAGGGAATAGCGAAGGGTAATTGCCAAGGCGACCTAGTGAGCATGATCGGAGAAGGGGAAGAGAAGAAGCCATCACTGGGGGACGTATCAATCGTGTGTGAGTACCCCGATGTTTTCCCCGACCAATAGCCAGGTGGGCCGCCTAACCGTCAAGTTGAATTCACCATTGACTTGCTGCCTGGAGCTGGACCTGTCTCAAAGGCCCCTTACCGAATGGCACCGAAGGAGTTGCAAGAACTCAAGACACAAATCCAGGAGCTATTGAACCTTGGTTTCATTCGACCGAGTGTTTCACCCTGGGGAGCGCCCGTGCTGTTTGTGAAGAAAAAGGATGGTTCGATGCGCATGTGCATCGATTACCGTGATCTAAATAATTTGACAGTCAAGAACAAGTATCCCTTGCCGAGAATCGAGGATCTCTTTGATCAGTTGAGAGGAGCTAGTGTCTTCTTCAAGACCGATCTACGGTCTGGTTATCATCAGTTGAAGATCAAGGAGTCCGATGTCTCGAAGACAGCCTTCCGAACTAGGTACGGTCATTACGAGTTCGTGGTTATGCCGTTTGGGTTGAGTAATGCCCCTGCAGTGTTCATGGACTTGATGAACCATGTTTTCCACCCATATCTGGACCGCTTCATCATCGTCTTCATAGACGACATCTTGGTGTATTCCCGGGATTTAGAGGAGCATAAAGAACATTTGAGGATTGTGCTAGAGACCCTTCGTCGGGAGAAGCTCTACGCGAAATTCTCGAAGTGTGAGTTCTGGCTGGATAGAGTGGCTTTCTTAGGCCATATAATCATGGCTCGTGGAATCGAGGTAGACCCGGGAAAGATTGAGGCCATCAGTAAATGGGAGACACCGAAGAATGCTAGTGACATCTGCAACTTTCTAGGACTGGCAGGATATTATCGGCGTTTTATCGAGGGTTTCTCGAAGGTGGCTCAACCGCTGACGAACTTAACCAAAAAGAAAATCAAGTTTGTGTGGAGTCCTCAGTGTAAGTTGAGTTTTCTGGAGTTGAAGAAGAGACTCACGTCTGCGCCAATGTTGACTATACCAGATCCAACTTTGGAATTTACTATTTATAGTGATGCTTCGAAGATGGGTCTGGGTTGTGTGTTAATGCAGCAAGGGAAGGTCGTGGCTTATGCATCGAGGCAGTTGAAGCCTCACGAGGTTAACTATCCGACCCATGACTTGGAACTTGCCGTAGTGGTTCATGCGCTTAAGATTTGGAGGCACTATCTCTACGGAGGCAAGTGCGAGATTTTCACGGACCACAAGAGTTTGAAATACATCTTCCCACAAAAGGAGCTCAATATGAGGCAGAGGCGTTGGTTAGAGCTCGTGAAGGACTACAATTGCACAATTAGCTACCATACAGGGAATGCTAATGTGGTCGCCGACGCATTGAGTCGGAGGAACCACGGTGCGCTGAACTTCATCATCTCTCGGGAGGAAGAGTTAGTCCGAGACATCGAGCGGCTGAAGTTAGAGATCGTGGAGTCCACTCCGAGAACTAGTGGTGTGCTGACATCATTAGTTGTGGGGCCGACTTTGCGAGAGAGGATTATAGCCGAGCAGCCGAACGACTGATTCCTTTGCCGGATGAGGGAGTTGGCTTTAGCTAGACGGATTGGAGGATTTGCGGTTGCAACCGATGGTGCCTTAGTCTTTGAGGGACGACTTTGTGTACCGGAGGTTTTTGAACTGCGACGCGAGATTCTGAAGGAGGCTCATAGTGCTCCTTATTCCGTTCACCCTGGTAGCACGAAGATGTACCAGGACTTGAGGAAAACCTTCTGGTGGCATGGTATGAAGCGCCAAGTATTGAGCTTTGTGAATGGGTGTCTAGTGTGTCAGCAAGAGAAGGCTGAACACCAGAAATCGATAGGTCTCTTGAGTCCACTTGATATCCCCATGTGGAAATAAAAGTGTATAACCATGGACTTCGTGGTAGGTTTACTGAGGTCGAGGAAGGGACATGACTCTATTTGGGTGATTGTGGATCGACTTACGAAGTCGGCCCACTTCTTGCCTGTCAGGACGACGATGAAGGCCAGTGATTACACCGAGTTGTTCGCCGATGATATAGTTCGATTGCATGGAGTGACCGTGGAGATTGTGTCTGATCGAGACGAAAAAATTCACCGGACAGTTCTGGAAGACTCTGCACCGTGCTATGGGGAAAAGGTTGGAGTTCAGTACCGCCTTTCATCCCCAGACTGATGGGCAGTCAGAGCGGACGATCCAGTATTTGGAGGACATTCTCAGGGCTGTGGTCTCGGACCGTAGCCTAACTTGGGAGGATTCGCTGCCACTGGTCGAGTTGACTTATAATAATAGTTATCATTTTTCGATCAAGATGGCACCGTATGAGACTTTGTACGGGCGAAAGGTTCGGACTCTCCTTTACTGGGATGAACTTAGAGAGAGAAAGATTATGGGCCCGGAGTTCATTCGCAGGACTTCGGAGCAGGTTGATGAGATTCGGAAGAGGATCAAGTCTGCCCAAGAGAGGCAGAAGGTTTATGCCGACCGAAAGAGGCAAGAACACGAGTATGTCGTGGGCGATCATGTCTTCCTAAAGGTCTCACCTATGAAGGGTGTGATTCGCTTCGGGAAGAAAGAGAAGCTTAAGCCTCGCTATATCGGGCCTTTTGAGATCCTTGCTCGAGTCAGAGACTTGGCGTATCGGCTTGCTTTGCCACCGCACTTGTCGGGAGTGCACGATGTGTTTCATGTCTCCATGCTGCGTAGATATGTACATGATCCCGACCATGTGGTGGACTTCGACGAGCTGCAGGTCGAGCGAGACCTCACCTATGAGGAGGTGCCGGTTGCCGTACTGGACCGGAAGGTCCATTAGGTGAGGAACCGGGCAGTTAGTTTTGTGAAGGTGCTATGGAGCCGACACGACGAGACCGAGGCGACTTGGGAGATCGAAGCCGAGCTTAGGAGAAAGTATCCGAACTTCGCCTTTTGATCCCATTTTTGTACTCTTTTGTTTTCTAGTAGACTTGTTTTCTTTCGAATTTCGGGGTCAAAATTCTTTTTAAGGTGGGTAGATTGTAGCGCCCCATTTGTTTTGGATTTATTTGAAATATTTTAATTATTTTATTTTATTCGGATTAATTTTCGGGATCAATTTTATTATTACGTGACTATATGCTCTTATGTGCTTAGTATATTTAATTACTATCGAGCCGAATTAAATTCTAAATTAAGTTCCGAACCGAGTATCGAACCAGGTCGGGCTTTTAATTTTTTTTATTCACGCGCTAAGTAACCGAACCGCTCAAAGCCGGCCCAAACCGCACCCGCATGCGGATAAAATACCCACACGACCACCCTTTTCCCAATTCACTTGCATGCATGGCATTTGAATTAATTATGTTTGATTGGAGATTTTAATTTTGAAAACACCTGACATGATAAGCCCTTTTAATTCTCATTTACCATGCATTGAACATGATTTATGGGGGAGGAAATTCAGATTTATTACTATCATTATCATGGGCTTCAATACTCTTTATGTTGAAAATTATTAACGTAAAATTCCTTTCTCTTTTAATTGAAATCATCGGCTCCACTATTACTTCTTCCTCACTATATCTCGGCGGTTTCATAGCAGTGAAACAAGAAAAAAATAATTTTATCATTCTTTTAACCCAATCCCAACTCTCTCCCTCACGCAAAACTCACCATCATCACCCTCTTTTGTTCCTCACAAAATCGAACACCGCATCACCATCGCCATCATTCCTTGCGAGTACCTCCATCATCGTGAGCCTCCCCGCTGTTCGCAAGCTCCGGGAGACCACCTCCGAGCAGGCCGTTTGTCATGTCTGTTCACCGAGTTCTGTCGCCGGCCGTCATCGAGGTCAGCGTCGCCCTCTGTTCGCGACAAGCATTGTTCGAGAAGTTCCAAGTCCCGAAGCCGTTCTTATTTCCCGTTGTTCGGCCCGTTTCCCGTACGATAGCTCGTACATTTCTGAAGACGGGTAACTCGTTCGAATCCTCTCGTAATTCCGGTCGTTTTCATATATTGCACGATAGATATATATATATTATACGGGCTACCAAATTCATGTTTGAAATTGGATTTTTGTTTGGTTCGTTATTGTTTGTTGATTGTTCGTGTATATCGTGGATACTCGTGAACTCTCTTTTATCGTGTATCGACTTAGCTACCGTGATTTTTGTTGGTCTGGAAAATTTAGAGTCTCGGTTTAATGTTTCGAGCCTTGCCGTTGTGGTTATGTTATTCGTTGTTTTCTCGAACGTAATATTGTCGTTTAGTTTTTCATTTCAAAAACTCGTTTATATAATCTTTCGAAGTCTGTGATATTCATTCATAAGTTGGAGATATTCGTTAAATTTTTTGAACCCTCATCGCGTTTGAAATCGTTGTCGAACTCCGGTCGCACTCGGAAATCCGGTCATTTTCTTTCCTCCCTGTACGCGTTTTCTGTTCTACTCGCAGGTTCTTGTTGTTATTTAATTACGTTATTATTTCAAATTAGAACGCAACAAGGTGTGTAGTGCAGTGGCGCGCTACACTTATTTTCGTGTGTGAGGTCATGGGTTCGAAACCACATCTTTTTGTAACCATTATTTATTTTGCCATTTTTCCAGCCCAAATTCACTAAACCTTTGCAGCCCACATTAGGCCCGCCGCGGCCCGTTTCTTCCAGCAGTTCAGCCCGCGAGCTGCGCCAGGCCTGCTTGGTCCGATGCCCTCACCAGCCCCTCTTGCTTCAAAATTGACTTTTTACCCTATTTTGAGTTCGGAAAGCCCTTTTTCATGCCGATTTTACTTAAAAGAAAATTTGAAAGGAGAAAAAAAAAATTGATAAAATCATTTTAAGTCCCGAGACTCTATTTTCGTTCTCCAAGTCATATTTTGTTTCAAAAATTAGAGAGAGTTCCAAGTCCACGAAAAATCCTATAAAACCCCTTAATCGTCGATTATTTTGATTAGGTATGATTTTTCTGTGTAATTTCGAGTAGTGTGATGAATTGTTAATTATTACCTCACTTAAATGTAGGTTTTTGAGGAGTCGAGCCTCACCGACCTATCGTTTTATTTGTGTTCTTTTCTACCTAGACATCCAGGTGGGTACAGTTTGTGTATCTATAATTATCGCATTTCGTTATTTCGTATAAATGTTCGTCTCGATAACTTTAGTATGCCTGAGAACCCTAGTCTAGTGTGTTACACCGCCAGGGGCATCTCGCCTTTAGTGCCTTTGATGAATGCATAAGCAGTGCGAGGTCACCTGCCCGTCGTATCCGGGAGGAGGACGCCCTAGCCCGTGTGTTGGGGAAAACATCTCGTCTGTCTTTTAGAAAGGATCCCTTAGCCAGTGTCGAGCCGGGGTGGGAATGTTTCCGGTTACTTCCTTGCCTATGTCTGATTAGAAGGTTGTTGTATGTACATAGGAGGTTTGCGATAGGGCCATATAGGGATGTAGACCTGGATTCTATGCAGACTCTATTTATAGATTTGGATCTTTATGCGAGATAGACTTATGCGATATTGGTGAGCATAGTGGTTTTGCTCACCCCCATTATTTGTTTTTGTCCTTTTGTTTCATCTCCCTATCTTTAGGTTGAGCATTATTGGTGGCGGCAGTGAGAGACAAGCGAGCAGTGGTCATGGATATGTCATGTCTTTTGCTTCCGCACTTCTCCTTTAATGTTGGATTGTCATGTTACCTTTATTTATGATGCTTTCGTTGATTTGTTTGATTTTATGATCGGATTCTGGATCTTTGGACTCATGTTGATTTTAAAATATTTATATAAATTCTGTTTTGGTTATTATGTTTACTAGTATGCATGTACAGATTCATATGTATTTACTTGTTGATTATTTTGCTAGTAGTTTAAGTAGCGCCCGTTAACGTCTAAAGTTTTAAATTGGAATTTTTGCGAAAATTTTACTCTGATTTTTATTCATAAATCTAGCAAACTCTTTAAAATAAAACGGGGCGTTACAGTATTGTATCAGAGCTTAGGAGGAAGTATCCGAACTTCGCCTTTTGATCTCTTTTTGTACTCTTTTGTTTTATTAGTTGGATTGTTTTTCTTTCGAATTTCGAGGTCGGAATTCCTTTTTAGGTGGGTAGATTGTAGCGCCCCATTTGCTCCGGTTTATTTTGAGATTATTATTTATTTTATTTTATTCGAGACTATTTAATTCGTACTCGATTAGTATTTTGTTTGACTATGTGATAGTAATTGCCTAATTGTTTTAGTGTATTTAATTATTATCGAGCTGAATTAAATTACGAACCGAGTATCGAACCGAGTCGAGTTATTAAATTTTATTCACGCGCTAAGTAACTGAACCACCCAAAGCCGACCCAACCCGCGCCCGCATGTGTATAGCCCAGTCAAACCGCCACCCCTCCAATTCTCGTGCATGTATAGCACTTAAAACTTATGTTTAAATTGAGTTTTAAATGTTGAAACCTCCAAACATAACCAGCCTTTATTTCCATTATCACACATTTATAGTGAATTATGGGGAGGAAATT